AGCGAGGTCACACACCCATGCCTCACTATGAATATTGTAATTATAACTCTTTTCCCATCTTTAGAACCGCTTCGAATAAATTCCTCTGTGAATCACCCAAATCCAAATCCCTTTTCCTTTCTGTGTGTTCCTGTCTCAAAGCCTCGTCATGGTGGATTAGCGCAAAGGTTATGCTGCTTGTGTGAAGGCTTCCCTTTGATTTTAGATGCGAAAGCTCAGTGGATTTCAATCGAATTTCAAGCTGAAAAGGTGGAGAAGCAGCTGGAATGCTACTTAGCTGCTAACACTGTGGCTCCCAGGCTGCTTTGCAAAGGGCTGTGCTGAGACGTGAGGCTGAGTCTGTCTCCATATTTCATGCCTTTAATTGCTTGTCTTCATAAAGACGCTGTTTAAAGCGAGTCCCCTCTCTGAAATTAGCAATGTGATTGATTTGAGCAGGCTCATTATGAGGCTGAGCGAGCTGAGGAGCGCCTCGAGATTCTGTTTGGAAGTGATGAAAATAAATGTGAAAACTGTGAATTTCATCAGAGCCTTCTGAAAATGGTGCATAAGGGTTTTTTCCACCTTAGCAAAAACTGTTTTTTTTCTTTGCCTGGAATGATCGAGACTTCTCCTGTGTGATCGTAGTAAATTTTGTTGGGAGTTTCCAGGAAACGCAAAGAAGTTTACAGTTGAACTCCAGGAAACTGCCATAGACTGTATGTAAAAGATGGAAGTAGCCATCTGAAAGGTAGCTGTGCTGGATTCCAAATGAAGGTCATTTTTTATAAGTAAGGTTATGAGAAAACGACTCTACTGCTAACTTCATTTATTACCTCAGTCAAACACCTGGAGAGTGCGAGCTCTGTGTGGATCTGTGGAGAATTATGTTCATTTTCTAAGAGATTGTCCCAGTTAGCTTGTGATTGACAGTTAGCTGAGATAGAAGAATGTAGTTTCCAGTCAGGTTCAACACATCTTTACAAAACACCACGATGGCTGGAATAGCTGGAATTCCAAAGGCCTATGTCCATCTATTCTATACAGTCTATGGCTAACAGTCTTAGTGCTTCCCTAAAGCTGCTTGTTGGAGCACCATGGCTATGCTGATGAAATGATTTTGTGTCTCTGTGTTTGAAAGAAGGCAGCAGCCTGGTGGAAAAACTGTTAAGCGTAAATAAAGATCTGGGAAATTTCTCACAACTGCCCATAGTTAGCAGCAAACCTGCGTTAACATGGGCACAATAATTTAAATGCCAGCTGATTTAACCAGTAGCCTTAAGCTGTCTTTTTACATGTTATAAATAAATACCAAATATGCAAATGTAGGTTCACTTTTATGATTACACCTTTAAGGGCTGTAGTTCAGCCGTCCATGAGATAATTTGGCTTTGAGCGCAGTTAGACTAGGGCTGTCTTCCACATGCTTTTAATCCTTTGTTTGAGCTCCTGCTGTTTTATTTTATACATTTACCATTTATTTCAGGAAATATAATAAACAGTCACCACATTAAACTCCTCCTGACCTTCTCACCAACCTGCAGTCTATCAGAGAGCTTTCAAGCAAAAAACAGTTAAACGGGGAATATCACATTTCAAGCGATTTGTATTCAAGCTCAGGGGTGTTGAAGCGAGCGTTGTAAAGTCATTTAGGGTGCATGACCTCTGTTTAAGGCGTCCAGACACAAACGCTTTTCTGATCTATCCACCCTTGAACACAAGAGCAGACCTGTTATCACACATAACGTGTGTGTGTGTGTGTGTGTGTGTGTGTGTGTGTGTGTGTGTGTGTGTGTGTGTGTGTGTGTGTGTGTGTGTGTGTGTGTGTGTGTGGGCAGCTTCTGGAATAAGATGATGAAATGGTCACTGTCACATCTGATAAAAGTCGCAGTGACGCTGATGTGAATAACAGCTTGTTCTCCATAGGTGGTTTCCTTTGCTCCAGTGGAGAGTGTTTGAAGTACAGATCGGCAGACCTCGCACAGACGTAAACTGAGATGCTTCGTTTTATTATAATCTTTTGATTTAAGTCACATCAGCTTGCTTTTTTTTTTTTTGTGAAGCCAGAAAGATACGTCTTCCTTCGTGGTCCTCCTTTTGCTCACTCAAATTCAACATTCATGTAAAAGTTGAAAATGTCCAGAGATGAGGGGAGCTTTGACCTTGCAGGGTGTAGGTACAAGGTGGAGCTGGCACTTCTGGGAGAGTCTGATTAGTTCCAGTGTTCTCACATCAACACAGTTTCTCTTCTGCTATGACTCGAGGAAAATGTGTCATCGGTCCATTTCTGGGTGGATCCCCACATCATAAAAATTACCAGAAGGTTTTAACAAGTCTGGCTCAGGTACAAAACTGTAACTTTCTTACCCAAGATTTGTACTGTAAAAGTATGCAAAATTAATCTTTGACTCTGTTTAAATAAAATCTAACTGACTGATTCATGCTGTGACCAGTGACCACATATTTCAATAAGGGAGGCATACTTTGTCCTTTAGTCCCTCCCATGTCATCTTTGGTCGGTTATCCTGCTGTCACTGTGTAGTTTGGCATATTAACTCGGTAGCTGGTGATCATAAAGAAATATTTAGATCCACGTCTTCAAGGACGCTAAGACCAAAGAAAATAAATCAGAATCAGGTTTATGAGGAAGTCCTTGGAAAATGTTGTCCTCTGTAACAGCGGTCCCCCAACCCCCGGGCTATGGACCGGTACCGGTCCGCGAGAGTTGAGGCTCGGGTGTGAAATTTATGGTTTTCAGGGGTTTTTTTGTTTCTGAGACAAATGACATCCACATATGAGGACATTGGTTTTAAATTTTGATAGAACAGCGGCAATATAATGTCCTCGTAAGTGGATATCAGGCCCTAGTAGAGAAAAATTAAGTATTTTGGTCTAGAAAACCCAAAATGTGATGTCCACATACGTGGACTCCAGGTCCTAGGAAGTAAAAGGTCGGTCCGTGAAAATACTGTCAAACATAAACCGGTCTGTGGTGCAAAAAAGGTTGGGGACTGCTGGTCTATAAGGAGTCCCTGAAGCCAAAACTTGGGAAAAGCCCTGGTTTAAAGGGCAAACGTTTGATCAGATTAAATTAAAGTCTTTGGGAAACATGTTTCTATGTTATAATTAATAAAATTAACTTTTATTCAGCACTCCTATAAATATTTATGCCTTAAATGCTGACTTTAAGTAATTTTTCATGTTATTTTATTGAATTTTAAAATGTTACATTGAATGTAATCTAGTCAAATGTAATTTACTTAATTGTTAAATACTTCATTTATACCAAGTGTATTATCCTTTACCTTTGATTTGATATATTTCAGTAACATTTCCTCATAGAGGAGTTAGTCAGTGTGTGCTGACTTCTGTGTTGCTCCTTTGGTGTTCCCCCTGTTTTGTACAGTCTCAATAACTAAGTTTAATAAGTTAAACTTTGGTACTTTAGCTTTGGTATGATCCAGTTAAAAAGACAGTTTTCACAGGATTCGATGCAGTCCTGCTTCCACAGGAATTAAAAGAGTAAGTAGCAGCCAGGTGCTGCGAATCGATGCACTCAAATGCATTAACTGATCATCAACTGTGAGAACCTCCATAAAAGCTTTTGTGGTTTTTGCAGTTTGCTGGTTTGGAGCATCAGGTTTGTGTTTGTAAACTTCTGATTTGTCTGAACAATGAACAAATCATTCGTCCTTCCAAAGAGTCCTTCAGGTAGGCGGTGACAAAAGTGCACATCCTGAAATTTTGCAGGAATGAAGCTATTTACATCACACCCCCACACACAACTGAATACAGCCATTGCTCAGCAAAAAGCCATAATTACTCTTTTTATCTCCCCTCTCATCCTCATTGTCATGTTTATAAATTTTCTGCCTTCAGCTGCACATAAATGTATAAATGAGAGCATAAAGGCTCATTGCAGCCCCCTCCATGTTTACTGTATTCCAACAGCGGGTTAGATGTGGTGGCTGTGTTTCTCTGGAGGCGTTTGCTGCACATGTGGGTCAGTTTGGGAGTGAGACCAGTTCAAACTGGAGCGTGAGACTGGCCACGGATCAAGGCAGAGGATGGATCTAAGTCGTGTGAAAACGTGGCCTGTGTTCGATCTCACAGTGGGTGAAAAACTGAGGTGGTAGTATACGTCTGACTGTGGTACCAAGTTGGTCTGCGCTCAGTCGGTGGGGGTGAAAAGTCTGCTGAACCTCGCTGCACTGAGCGGTAACTGCAGATGATGAGAGAGCGTGTGTGTGAGCATGCCTGTGGGGTGTACGAGAGTATTTAAAGTGTGATGGGGTAAGAATAGCGCGTTGATGAGTATAACATCTACTGTTAGTGTTGGCCTGGGTATTTCTATACACAGCCTTCTAATTGTCCTCTTTATTCCTGTCCCCATCTTACTCCCCGTGTCTGTCGACTCTCCGGGTCCTTCGCTGTGGGAGAGAAACCTCCAGCAGAGACGGAAACGATTCCCCGGAGAGCACATTATCATTATGGTGCATATTGCACTTAAAACATAGGAGGGAGAGAATTTTGTTGGTTTTCGTCATTTCACGCTGTCAGAAGTGGTCGCAGAGTGACTCTAAGTTTGCTGCTTTTGGCCTTTTGCTGTGAACTGATGATAACAGGGATTTATTTATAGCAAGTGGAAGCCAAGAAACCTATTAGAGTTTATGTATAAATCACATGTTTGACATACTTTAAAGGCGTGTCTGAAAAGGATATCCACTCATCATTCACTACTGCGGATTTACGATGAAACCCTGTTTGTGGATCTATAATTTGATCCTATTTGTGTTAAATGGATCATGAGCTTGAATCAAGCTGCTGGAAAGAGAGCATATGGGCCAAAAGACATGATTACCATTTGATCCGTAGGAGCACAAATCAACCTGCCATTTTTTTCTGATGAACATTAGCTTCATTTAGCTTTACGTTAATAGCTTTTTTCCTCACCCTGGTTTATATCTCGCCTTGTGTGAGCTATGGTCCTAAAAGCATGCGTATGTGTTTCTAACCCACAGTGGAGTACGACAGGGAGCTCTCACCGCACAGGCGTCACCACAAGGAGTTCAAGTTCAACCTCTCGCAGATCCCAGAGGGCGAGGCCATCACCGCCGCCGAGTTTCGCCTCTACAAGGAGTGCGTGAGTCGTGCTTTCCGCAACGACACCTTCCTGCTGAAAGTCTACCAGGTGGTCAAGGAGCACCCTGACAGGTAGCATATAAACTTTTACAGAGTTTCCAACGTCTATGCTGAAGTCCGATTCACTGTTAGATTTTCTCTTGATTGTCTCATCTGTGTTTGTGCAAAACTATAAAAGTATTTTTATACTAACTTGGGAAAAACAAAAAGAAGTAATAAGTTAATAGTCTCAGAATTGTGCATACCACACTATATCTTAAATATGGGAGTTTTGGTTTTCTTGCATACTCTTTTATTCACATTTCTTAAAATGTACTTGAATAAATAATAATCATTTACTGGTTTTCAGTTGTATGATTTTTTTTTATCTGTTCTAAATGTGCACGATCTTGGCTCGAGCACTTTACATCCGTCTCACTTACAGTGAGATCACAGCAGAGCAGATATCTGTAACTTATGTGTGGGTTTGATTTGGGGGTCATAAAATTACTCACCTCCACCTCTCTGGCTGAAGCTGAGAATATTTGATTATTACCAAATCTGTGGAGCACAAATAGTAGTTGAATTTATGAAAAATACTGAAGATAACACAGTGTGACAGACATAAAATAGTGTTTTTGCACAAACAAGGTCATTTCCAAAGAGCCATTAGCTAAAAACTTGGCATATCTCAGCGTGGTGTGCAGTGTGTCCTTAGAAACATTTGCGGAAATCTACAGCAGATGAACAGTATCTGAACCTCATGTCCTTGAGAAACGGGGAAAAAAAATCCAGAAAAGACATGAGACAGGATCTGAAGCCTTATCAGAAATAGTCTCAGTTGTTAAGAAGCCATTCTTAAGGAAGGGAAACAGAAAGAAAATGGTTTTGTATGCCAAAGTATGCAAGAACTGGACTGAAAATCAGTGACAACATGTCTGATGGAGTGAAGAAGCCAAATTATCAGTATGTGAGGAAGCCCAGGAGAGAGGTACAAAAGTGAGTGTCTACAACCGTCTGAAAAACAGGGTGGAGGCTGTGTCATGGTTTGGAGCTGCAACTTAGCCAGTGGTGTTGGAGATCTTGTCAAAGTTGATGTAATTACGAACGCAGAAAAATACCATCAGACTTTAATCCACCACGCAATGCTATTGGAAAGCATCTGACATCTCGGCAGAGAACAGAACAAAAGTCAGCCAACATCCAAAGAAGAGTTTGAATGTCCTTGAAGATGCCTGGAGAACCATTCCTGAAGACTACTTAAAGCAATGACGAGGAAGCTGCCGTGGAGAATTCAGGCTGTTGAAGAATAAAGAAGTTCATACCAAATTCTGACTTTCAAGATCGAATTGTACAAACTCTGTTGTTGTACAAGCTAACTGGATACTGTATTTCCATGTTTGTTTGCATGTTTCACTAACTCGATGCGCAGCAAAATATTAAGAAATGAGGTTCAGCTCAAGGCTTTTGTGCAACAATGTATTGGGACTGAGCTACTAAACTTTCCTTTAATTATTTGGGTTTCAGCAGCTCTTAGCTGTGAAACACGTGCACGTCGATGGCCCTGCAGGTAGGTTCCTGTAGGCTCCAAAAGCATTCACATTCACATTTTCTGGATATCGAGGTGTAAAAACGTCTTTCCTTCTCCCCGTGCGTTGCACATACTTTTGGCAGCTGCTGTGTTTATCATGTAAAATCAAGCATTACAGAAATAGCACAACTTCAAAATCCTCACCAGAAAAAGCACGGCTAATGCATGCTAAACATTTACTGTACATTAAGACTGCAGGGCTAGATAAACAGAGTTTCTGAATGACATTTGTGTTTTATCAAGCCCGCCCGCCGTCGACCAGCACAAACATGGAGAGAATGTCTGATATCTGTTTTTAGCCTTACATAGCTCGATATATTTAGTCTATCAGTGAATACACGCCGAAGGAACTCTCTCCTTAAAAAGCCATTGATGAATGACAAACTGTTACACTTGATTAATTCTTTTGTGTTAAATAAAACCAATTCAGTCTGTCAGAGGATTCACACACAGTACATTTATTTTCTCCTTTGTCCCTACAGCGGCTGGTTTGTGCTCTCGCTTTCTCTTCTTGTTATCAGATGGAGAAAATAAACTGCATGCATAATAACGCCTTGTAACTGCAGTTTTACATTATTCGATCTAATCAGTGCAGATGTCATCTGAGGTATTGTCACATACATGAGAAAAAACATTACTGTTTTTTCCCCGTTTTGCAAAACCGTCCCTTCATAATCAGCGGGAAGCCCGTTAACTTTCTCGTGCTCCTCCTTCCCATAAAACCTGACTCGTGCTCTGACTCCGAGCTGTAATGATAGAGCGCTTAATTAGCCTGACACCCGGCTGAGGAATGCGACAGATTACAATGGAAAAAAAAAAAGGTGGCCGTCCTGACTTTGTGTTGAGTAAAGACAAAGACTGTCCTGTACCCGCTCAGGAGAGTTAGTCCTTACAATCTCTGTCTTTTCCTCCAGATGTCTGACTCGCGTATCGTTTTTAAGGTCTTACAAATATGCCATTGCACCAGTTTCAAAGACGAAAGCATGTAAAATAACCAGGCCAGCTGCGAGTCACACTTTCCTACCTTGGATAACAATTTTAACAAGTCACTGACAAGACTCATAAAGGGGATTTATGGTACAAAGAAACACGACTTTGACTCTTGACCTTATTATTCCAGTTCATTTAAAGCAGCCAGTCAATAACACATTCGTACAGTAGACCGTCACCCTGCAGGTGTCTCTCTCACCGACTCCCTGCTGTTCTCTGTCACGCGAGCGTTACGTGACAATGATGCAGAAACACAAGTGCACCTGGGACAAATGTGCAAACTCAGCAGGAGGGTGGAGTACCATATGCGTGTAGGAAAACAGGGTGTAGGTGCTCATACGGAAGCCGTCAGAAACACTCATTAATGAGCAATAAAGAGAGGCTGCTGAAGCATGACTGCAGGGACATTCTCTGAACACCTGGATGATTGCGAGGCTTTGATGTGTCTCGTGGAGGAGTGTCTGACAGGACCGCCGCAGTGTTATTACTGCTGTAATGGGACGGTGGGAGGACAGAGGCCTCTTATCATTCACACTCTGTCTTTTCCTTACATCTCCTCTGCTGTCACTATTTTTTACCTCCCTCCTCTTTTGACACATTTGAAGCCTGATTCGATGAACTCACTTTTTGTTATTTTTTTGTAAATGATATTAACATGCATGTAGCCTGATATCATACTTTTAATTCCTTCCTGTTCGTAGTCCCTCAGAGATGTAGACTTTAAGGTCAGATCTACGCTAGAGTAGAATACAGTATCCCAGCATTTTTTGTTAAGTGCCGCTATCCATCTTCCTGTCATTTTGTTATGATACTCTTACCTCGATAGAAACCAAGAGCTTCTGCGTCTTTGGTTTCTTAAAGCGGTAGATCTGACCTTTCTAGCGTTGCGTGATCTCAGTGATGCTCTTTGTGCCCCTGTTTTATACATAAGACTGAATGCAGTAAACCAAACGTATATAATGTCATTTCTGTTGAGGACATCAAAGAGGGAGAGCCACACAGCAGCAAGTTTTACTGAGTCAGAATTTATTAATCATGAATCGAAAAGGCAAAAATGTAAAGCTGCATGGACCCAAAATGATCTGCTGCCGGTGAAAAGCAGCACAGCGGACTCCTTAAGCGTAATTTAGACTTCTGCGGAAAATCTATGTCGTGACTTACGACGTAACTGGAAACTCCTTCTTAACCTCACATTATAGCTTTCCACATTCAGTCGTTGTGGGCTGCGTCAAACAGATGTGTCGTTACATTTCTTGGGGGGTGGACGTCAAGTTACCTGGAAGCATAGTTCAGGCATTAGGTCCATCATAGCACTTTTAGCAGTGCAGTATAATATCTAATAGCAGCTTGTATTTAATTGACTTAATACAGATGAGGACAAAATTATTTGTGTAGTTTATTTCTATTTGAACAATGACAGAATTATTTCAGTAATAGCATAAATTACCAGGCTCAGTATAATTGCCCCCCTGAAAACTGGTGTTCTTGTTGACTTTTATAAAGGACAAACCTCTGCTATGCAATGATGTGCTTTAACCTTGTAATGGTCAAAGATTGGAAAATCACATTAAAACACTCTATCTTCCAATTTACACACAGTATAAAAACCTCAGCAGCAGTTTGAGCTGTCACCTGAGAAAGCATCTTACCACCACAAACAAAAGATGTGAGTTTAGTATTAAGTTATCAAATGTGAAGAACTGGAATGAGAAAAATCATCAAGACACTGAAAGAGAGCCACACAGTGCAGAACAAGCCTGTCAGAGGTAGGAAGGGAAATATTTCAAAGACTCTGGGAAGAAAACTAGTGAGAATTATATCTAAAGAGCCCAGAATAACTGCCAAGACATGAGTGGAGAAAGATTATGCAAACTGGAAGCACGTTCTTTGGTCAGATGAGATGACTACAACCATTTTTAATACCGTTCCAGTACATCCATGTACAAATGCCAGTATTGGCACAAGTATTACTAATGTTTCGTGTAATAAGTTTCTTCTGGTGTTTGTTTGCCATTATGTCACAGAGAGGCAGATCTGTTCCTGCTGGAGTCTCGCAGGCTGTGGGCAGCTGAGGAGGGCTGGCTGGAGTTTGACATCACTGCCACTAGTAACCTGTGGGTGATGAGTCCCGCACACAACCTGGGTCTGCAGATCAGTGTGGAGACCAGCAGCGGTGAGGGATCCAATTGCACATCTCTTTTGTAATACAAAGCCATAGTTGGAGCAGTTAAAATGCATCACTTTCTCTCAGCAAAGTAAAGGTCAGCAGTCATTGCTGGAAGTTTTTGATCTTCTGTGGTTCGTACTTACTGTGATCTTTTTTTTAAACAGGACAGAGCGTCAGCTCCAAGGAGGCGGGGCTCGTAGGACGCGACGGTGCACTGGATAAGCAGCCTTTCATGGTGGCCTTCTTTAAAGTCAGTGAAGTGCACATCCGCACCGTCCGCTCCGCTAGTGGGAGACGGCGCCAGCCGCACCGCAATCGATCCGCACAACCGCCAGAGGGATCTAGAGGGCCGGGCCTAGCAGGTCAGTCTGCAAGAACGCTGAACCTTAACTGACCTCATTACGCAGTGAAGTCGTGAATGCAATCACACTCAAAAGTAACATAATAGCAAAAATGATCTACATCCACTGATGTCACCGGCGTCCAGCCCGTAGAGAACGGCGGATGGGTAGCATGTGTTTGAAATCTGGTTTTATTATCCCTCTTTGAAATTCTTGATAGATTAGACCCGACGTTTGCCGGATCTCTTTAATCAGTGCCGATCAGATGAGAATTGTAGCCCTTTTTTTTTTCTTTGTATGGTTAAGGTATTGCAGTTTTTTCCCAATACATGTCTTTTGAGCAGGGAATATAGTTATTTGTTATATTGGTTATACACCGTTTCTGCTCTGAGGAGTGACTTAAGTGCATGGTAGCAGGGAGAGAGTCCATGAGGAAGAACCTTGGGCTCAAATATTAAAGAACAGGCCATGTGAATGATGATAAGATGACTTTAAACTGACACACCTCTGGTGCATCTGTAAACTGTGTAGTAAGTCTTGCTAGAGATTTACAACGTGACACGATCTCACAGAATTGTGAGCTACTGAATATTCAGTGAATTAAGGCACAGGCGGTGAATCCATCTTGACAGGTGACCTCATCCTCCGGACCTCCTCATTAGCCCTGCTTGCTTCTCTTCCTACTCAACAGATGATGTAATGTGAAGGTATGAGCCTGATGTTATGAGTCTCACAAGCTTTTCAAATTAAATCAACCCATAATCCGCCTGCTGTGTGATTCTGGACCTTTATAGTGCTTAAAGCTAAGCTGCTCCTGTGAGGCTTCATTGTGTGACTGTTGCAGTATGTAAAGGTAGTCCTCAGTCAGCTTGCTGTTGATACTGGTCTTATCCTCGCCAAGTTACGCGCACAAACCTTTAGATGTACGTGAATCCAGTGCATCTGCTTTCTGCACTCGTTGTTGGACTTTAAATGATGAGCCATAGTAAGCCTAAGTGTGCTTCCAGGGGCTGCGAGTATCTAAGCACAGAGTGATGCCAACTAAAGCTAACGATCAGACCAAAGAGGTTAGAGGATGTGCCACAGTAACCCAAATCTTGGCTATAACTGGCTTATCTTTGGTCCTCTTGTCTAATCACAGCTCTTGTCTGCACTCACATAGAGCTGCAAATCCTCCCATCCTGACTGGCTACTTAGGTAGCGATTTACCTTTGCTTTGCTTTCTTTTGCTCCCTGCTTAATGGCTCTAACATCTGTACGGTACGCAGAAGCATTTCCAGGACAGGTTTGCTCTCATCGCTACTCCCTGCAAAACCCTCTGCTGAGATTTGTTGGCTCGATCTTCTGTTTGCTCAGAGCATCTGCTGCGACTTTCTCAGTAGGTTACGCGGCACTGCTGTTAACACCAGAGGTTGTATGTTAAATTCCTGCAGGGCTTTTTCTTAGTAATTGCATTAGATGAAAGCTTTGGCTGACACGACACAGAACAAAGACTCATCATTTGTTATGCTACGGGACAGTTAGATCTCACCACATGTTCAGTTTTGGCTCCAGACCTGTATTCTCCACCGCCCAGCTGTCACCTTTGGCTCGAGACGTCCGAAGACTTTAAGGCAGGATGTCGTAAAGACAAAGTTATTCTGGGGTACACAGCGTGGATTTCAAAGCCTGCTCCCTTTCAGTATAAAGCTTTTTGTGTCCCCTTCTGCATCGGGAGGATGAAAAACTTTCCACGGAGCGAGTCTGCTGAAAAAAGTGCTCTAACAACGACAATCTGTTAAATATGCGTCCTGGAGCATTGGACTTTACATAACCCAAAACATCAAGACCTCTCCGCCTCGCCACTCGGGACGACTGGGAGTGTAAATATTTAGATCCTACACAGGAAGCAGGGAGGCCCCCCTCGCGACAGCCGTGTGTCCGTGGCCAGCAAGAGGACTGCAGGGATTGGACGGGATGGGAGGATCCGCGAGGAATTCAGGAGGGCATATGGTTTCAATACCGCATCACTCACTTCAGAGACGGGGAGGAGGCCGCGATGGATGGGGAGAGCATCCGTCTTGTGGAGCGCTCATGGGGAGAAACAAAATGTGGATGCTGTCCCCCAGTTTCTGTTTGGCCGGGAATTCACCCTCACGGATATTTTTCCAAAGAAGCGGGAGATCTAAGAGCGAGCGGCAGCAACGTGTTTGTTTCGAATGTGTTCAGTAGCATCCACATAGAGGCTTTTTAAACTAATTCAGCAAGTGTGTTTTCTAAAAATAACCTCCCAAAGTGTAGCCCCTGATGTGTGAGGTCAACCTGATTCCACTGCCTCATGTTTTTAATCCCAAAGTAATCCCTGACATCATCAGACCCATTTTTAATTTAATACATTTTTGTCAATTTTGATTTGGTCTTCATGAATTTGGCCTTGCTGCACCTCAATTCGCCACAAATGACTCTCGTGCCTTGCTCGGTCTGCTAGGGCTATAAAGCAACCTTTAAACCAGGACAACTTTATTTTCCCAGCTCTAATCCCTGTGAGGTTTTGGACCTTGTTATTTTCTCATTTGCACCATTTTAGCGAGCTGGGTTTAAATCGACATCTGATATTAAATATCTTCCAGATGACAAAAGAGGCCAGAATCGGCCATAAAAATTTCTGCAGCAATAGTTTTGAGATTATGGTGTAATTCTAAGTGTAACAAATCATCTTTGTTTTCCACATTTTGCTCCTGAAAGCACGCGCACACACACACGCACACAGCTTTCAGACCAGCCACTTTTATCCCAGTGTTTTTGTTTTTCCTGTTCTTCCTGTTTAGTGGGGTAAATCTCTTTTTTTTTAAAGTTTCGCCTTAGATTCTGAGGCGTGCGGGGAAGACCGGGAATATCTTTTACAACAGCCGTGATATTTCCACCCACTCTGGGTGTGTCTGATGTGTGCACAGTGGAAAACGCTGGTGTGTATGTTGCCAAAAGAACAATACAACACCTTTAAAGGTAATTTGGGGTTTTGTGGGCGAGGAAGGGCTGGGGAGGTAATGGGAGTCGGGCTGGGCCTTGGCTGTGGGGGAAGTTAACAACCATCCGGGGAAGGAATATCACGTCCCGGCACAGCACCAGCGGCCTGTAATTAGGCCTAGCTAGTCATTAGTTGCACAGCTAAAAGACTGACCAAGCTAACAGTATTGCTTAAAGAATTATAATAACACGGCGCTCAGCCAGCTGTGTTTTTTCATCTGTCGCTCTTCTCCTCCCTCCTCCTCCTCCTCTTCGTTCTCCTCACTCCTTCACCACCCGACCTCCTTTTGTTTACCGTTGGCGTAATTAGACATGGCGGAGCTCCCTCGCAGGGTTTAATAACCTCTGTGATGAAAGACAGGAAGAAAGATAAACTTGAGTAGTAGTGGCTGCAGGGAGGGGGAGGAACGTCAGAGGCAACAGTGACATTCTCCTTTCATGTCTTCACAACTTTTGGGACACGCTCCTTCCTCCTTCAGGGTGAAGGATTTTATTTTGAACACTGGGACTGAGTTTTCCATCACCACCACCACCACTGCCACCACCTCTATGGGAATTTATGTAATTGCTACTGTAAAACCTGCTATTTTTTTCTCGCTTTGGAATTAAGAAATAGCTGGAGTAAACCATAGGCTGTAGGTGGAGCGGCTTGAAAAGCTTTGGCTTGGGTTTCTGTGACTCTTTTTATGTCACTGAAACACTGAATCCGAGCTGTGCAGTTATAACATCTGAACTGGCACCATAAGATCCTCGTGTTTTTGGAACAACCGGAGATAAATATAATTTACAGGCTTTTCCAGAGTTTGAGGTTCAAAGAGTGGCGAGGAAGGGTTAAAGTGAAGTCATACAGTACATTAAAAGTCTCAGTGTTAAAGAGCCACAGTGCTTATGTTCAGTAAGGAGCAGTGTTTCCCCTGCTATTCAATAGACAGGGTGGGAACCGGCAGTAGGAGCCCCACCCTGATGAATTCAATGTGAATCGGTTTTAGTGCAGAGTTTTACTATCACGCGGTCAAATGGATGTTTGTCTACTCGCAGAGAAACATTTCCAGGTTAAACACTGTTAAGTAAGCTGCCGTAACACAGCGGCGGAGCTCTGTGCTACAGTGTCCGTTTACATTGCCATCTCAGTAGAGGAAATCCTGCTTTTTTTCTCCCTGTTATTTTCAAATATTTGGTCCTGAATGTAGTTCAAGAAGGTGAAAGTGGAGTTCATGGTTTGGGTCTTAAAATCCTCTGAAGTCATGTTGAAAGGACAAAGATATTTACTTTGAATAGCAAGCGATATCTGAGGTGATTTTTCCATAATTAACCGCCATGTCTACACCTCCCCCTCACTAAAAATCAGTCATTTATGAATTATGTGTTACTACTGAATGCAAGACATATTCTTATAGTGTACAAATTATTTATTAATGCAATTTACATGATCTCAGTCTTACTGTTTACTCTTGTTTAGCTTGTCTCATTTGTTTTCTTTTTTAGTTTCTTTGGGTTTTTTTTTATCACTGTTGTGTATGTGAATTTTTGCAATATCTCAAAGTATAAGGGCTACCCTATGTGCATGTGGCACTTTTACTGGGACTATGTTGTTTATTTATTGCATACTGCACTTTTTTATTCTTATCCTGCTGCTCAGACTCAATAATTGTCTTGTGGGGTCAGTAAAGTTTCATTAAAGATAATCTATCCACCTATCGGTCTATCTAGTCCAGGGATTTCACGGCTGTTTTTACTGTACCACTAGAATTCAAAATATCCACATTACAGCCCTATGTAACTCAAATCTTCTATGTCAGATAGTTGCTGTGGCTTGTGCTATGACATAGTTCTGATTGTAGTTATTATTATGTTTCAAAGATCACGGTTATCATCGAAACGCTTTGCCACCTCCAACTTAATTTGTGAAAGACAGCTGTGACATGTACATGTGTAATGCAGGCTGTAAGTGCACTGTGTCTCAGAGTTTAGGTCCATAATTTTGTCAAAGGGCCAAGAGAAGTTACAAACACCAA